ATTTGGATCAAGTGACATATAAAAATAAAAATGCACATGACCATATTTGTAGACAATGATGAAGAGGTCTTACCAATTATATCTAATGAACAGAGGCCTAAGTAGATAATCTCTTAAATTTCTTTAGTTCTAAAATGTTACATTTTATTTCAAAGATGAGAATAACATGTCAGCTAAATTGAACATCTGACTAGTACATTCTTGAACAAGAAAATCTTGATTTATAGTATCTGGCACAAAAGGGTCTTGAACACTTGGGATGTTTGGGTAATTAAAGAGCAGATACTAACAGAATGATAGCTTGTTACCTGGTTCCTGACATGTTGTACTTACTTGAACTTTCATTTTTACCCTGGATTTCTCAATAGCAGTGCACATTTCTCGCCATGTTTGGGTTGTGCCTTGACAGGGTTCAAGATGCTAATTACCTGCAAGTATTTATTCAAATTCAAAAAGAGAGAAGAGCTGCTTACTATACTATTAGCTTATCTAATAGGTTTATTTTATTTTACTTTATTTTAATATTTTAGTGGATAAGTTCAATGAAAGTAGAGATTTATTTTCTTTGTTTTGTTCATTGATACGTAACAAGCACCCAGAACGGTGCCTGGAAAAGAGGTACTTAATAAACATTTGCTTCAGGAAAACAAAAAAAAAAACCTATATATAAAATGCTAAAAATGTGAAATGTTTTTTCTTTCCTATATCAGTCATAACCCCTCCCAGAGTAATGAGCTGTGTCTATTATTTTAGGATTCCCAATATTTATACTCCCTCCCTATAGGAAGATTTATACCCCTGTCCGTTGCCCCGGCCTTATAGCAAATCCTTTGTAGACAGGGTAGGGAACATTTGACTTGCTTTGGTCATTGCACACGAGCATATATGATGTACACCATGTCCCAGCAGAAGCTTGAAGAGTTATTGCATGTTTCTGCCAAGTCACTTGCTCTTTTCCTCTGCCACAAGAGGAAGACATATTCCAGATAAGGCTGCTTTTGCAGCCTGGATCCTGGAATGAGAATGTATGTGGACAAAACCTGGAGCTGATTTGCAGTTGCCAGTTGTAATATGAGTGACTAACTGTTGTTGTCACAAGCCAGTGGGAATTAATGGTTATTATCTCACTATAACCTGGCGAGAGCCTATATGAATTCTGGAGAAATGTGTGAAAATTAGCATATAAAAATGATTTTTTTAAGAAAAGTGTAGTATGTTTTTCTTTATAGAAGTATTAAGGCTGTGTTACAGGAGGTAAGGGACCCAAGGTTCATAAATGATAAATATCCTTTGGTAGGATTTTAAGATTTTCAAGTTATCCATGTTCTCAGCTATGTGCCCAGGGATGACACAAAATGAAGGCTTAGTGGATGTTTAATGCGCAAATGCTTTATTTTGCATTTTGGGGGGAAGGGGGTAGGTAGAAGAGGGTTGTTAAGAAGCCTACGGAGAAGAGTGGCACACTGCAACAACATTGATTCATTTTGGAATATGATAATTTCTTGCCTTTTAGATACCTAGAGAAGTAATGTTGGGGAGAAAGCAGATGGCAGACACCAGATAGCTCTGGTGTCTGCCAATTCCACTTCTGACTCATGAAAGCCTAAGGAACGGGAAACAGGTATTTAACTTTTAATTTCAGTTTAATTCATTTATTCATTTACTCAGCATATTTACTGAGAATCTACTATGTGTTAGACATTGTACCAGGATAAAGTAGGAGCCATTCTCGTAAGATTTCACCAGGTTTTCCTCAAATTCCACATCCATGTGATCTATTTACCCCAAATTATTCCACAAATTTTCATATCCAAGATATCTGCTCCAAACACAGTCTAAATTCATCCTCAACACAATTTGAAATCCCTTACCATCTCTTTCCCCATAAGAAGCATTAAATAGTGGACAGGAGAGTAGAACGGAAGGGAACAGGGTCATAAAAGCAGGGCATCCGTGAGTACATTCTAGAAAAGTAGCAGCTTAGCTATAATCTCCAAGGCAAGAAGAGACTTGTTTAGGCGAAGCAATATGAAATATGCTAAAGAGTGGTATTCCTTTTATATGCTAACTTCTCCAGTACTGCCCCTTCCATCCCAGTCACAACTTAGGCTTTGTTGCCCATTATATTAAGGCCTGGCTTCATCTTGCTCACCAGCCCCCCACACCCAACCCCACTTCAAATTATTCCTTAAATAAAAGCCTAACTTATATCTCTTCTTGGCTTTTGAAATTGCATCTTTCAGCAGTAAGTGACAATAATCACACAGACTCAAAACCAAAACCAAACCTTTACTCATCTCACTCACACAGTGGGAAATTAGGAGGGGCTTCAAGTTTGGTTGATCCACCCATTCTCTTGTGCACTTAAAACCTCAGGTTCTTTCCATCTTATTTCTCTGCCATTCACAGCTTCACATCTGAAAGATGATCGTATGGTAACTGCCAACTGCAATGGCTGCTGCATGCTTCTTTGTTTCCATCTCATGAGATGAGGATATAGATGATGTAAATAGCCTAATTAACAAAGGAGCCCCAGTAAGTATATACGCTTAAACCAGAATTTGCAACTTTCTTTCCATTGACCATGGAACATTTATAAAACGGACTATATATGAATCCACCCTGAAAACCTCAGTGCATTTCAAAAAGTAGACATATATAATCCACGTTTTCTTTACATTTGGAAAAGTTCTTACTAGATTAATATATGCATCTTCTTGCACATTACTTTTATTGATAGTAAGTAATTCAAATGATTACTTTTATATTAAAACACCTATGGGGTACATAGAAAAATAAAACATAAATTACACAAAATTTTAAAGATAAAGCAGAAAACTCAAAGAAACTGCTTTCAGTTAGATGACTTTGAGCTGCCTCTTCTATCTTCAGTTCTTCATTCCTCTCTGCTTACAGGAAAATTGGCAAACACCTTGAGAAAAATTGTGAAAATATTTCTTTGCACAGTTTAGTGTAATCTCGTCAGTTAACCTCTAGTAAAATGGAGTTAATAGGCTTAAACTGCCATCTCTTTCCCCACCTTTTGCACAGGAAATTAATGAATGCTAGCCTGTGCTAGACCCAAAGGAGTTTCTCTTATGATGGTATTTTAGGGCCCTGGGCCGGGTCTTTCTTTAGAGGACTTTATTTTGGAAAGAGGGCAAAGGAAATTCCCTTAGGGCAAAGGAAACTGCCTATTCGGCAACACTCTGAGCTTCTCTGGGTAAAAGCTGTGTTTTATTTACTTTTGTATCCCTGGCACTTGGCTGAAGGCATGGCACACACTAGGTGCTCCATAAATGCTTTTTGAATACATAATGTAAGCTTCTTCTTACCTGTTGGCAGGTAAGATGGATTTAGGGACCTTGAACCTCTCTTTTTCTGTGAGAACCAGCCCTCAGAGCAGTGGTCAGGGGCAAGTTTCCACTCAAGGAAAAATCAACATACTGCTATCCGCTCTATTTTGGCTAGGGTGGCCCCTCCCACGGAAAGGTGAGCGAGCCAGTACCTGCTGCTCTAAGCTGGCAGCAGGCATTCCAGGATAACAGAATGGATTTGGCATTGTTTACCTTAGTCTCCATTGTCTCTTCCAGATGTGGGGGAAGTTAAACGGGAAGGGAGGACTAGAGGCAAACTTAGGAAAAAGATAATTGGAATGCATCTCGAAGCCACCTATCCCCAAATACTCTCTCCATAGGCAGGGCCAAGGCACAAAGCAAAAGGGGAGTAGGCAGTGGGCTTCAAGGAAGAGGGGAGGTAATGAACTGAAGAAAAGTAGATCTTAAAAGTTTTCATCACAAAAAAATTAGTTTCATCACAGATAATAACCAGGATTACTGGGTGTGACAATCATTTTCCAATATATACAAATACTGAATCACTACGTTTTACACCTGAAACTAATATAATGTTATATGTCAATTATACCTCAGTAAAAACCATTTTTAATTAAAATAAATAAAAATTAAGGCTAGACCTCAAAAGAAGACCTGAAGAAAGGTGATGCCCCTCAGAAAGTTGTGTGTGAAACTACTACATCAAAAAGACCAGTCATAAGAAGCTAATTTGAGAATTGTTTTATTAAGAAATAGTGTCAATTACAAAGCAATATGTACATTTTTAAAAGTGCTTACAAATAAATTAAAAATATATTCCATAAATTTAAAAATACATATATTTTAGCTTTAACAAAGGCACCTCTTCAGAATCTACTTGCATATATATCACTCTTGTCAGATAATTCTTAAAACTTGATTTACAATACTTCCACAATATTTTGCTTGGAAATTCTTTCAAACTGCTTCATTAGATGTACAACATTCTGTGCACCCCCTTTTGCTTTTATTTTCTTCTTTTGTATGTTTTTGGTATGAGAACATAAGAAGTATCAGTACATGTAGAAGAAATGCTTGCCTTTTTTTTTTTTTAAAGATTTTATTTATTTGAGAGAGAGAGAGTGAGAGAGAGAGAGCACATGAGAGGGGAGAGGGTCAGAGGGAGAAGCAGACTCCCTGCTGAGCAGGGAGCCCGATGCGGGACTTGATCCCGGGACTCCAGGATCATGACCTGAGCCGAAGGCAGTCGCTTAACCAACTGAGCCACCCAGGCGCCCAAAATGCTTGCCTTTTAAACAGGTTTTTATATGTTATTGGGTTCAAGCTTTTCCTGCCTTAACCTTCTCCTTTCCCCTTCTACGTTGTGTTTAGATTCTCTGCCTGAAGTAAGGCTTATGTAGGTGCAGCTGAAAATTACCTGGGCCAGTGGCTCAGGCATAACCACTACATCCCCCTCCATTTGAGGGATAGTATTTCCCCTGCCTTATAAGTCCATATCAAACAATAGAAGCTTACAAAAATAAGTTAAGAAACCCTACCATAATTAAAAAATAACTATCGGCAGTCTTTTACATGTCACAGTTAGAGTTAACATTACATCTACCTAATAAAGATGATTTATTTGGTTGCTATGAAATACAGCCTTAAGGAAGGTATATTTTGTCTCTATGAAATGCGACTGAAACGACGCCACAGTTCTATTAAGTATGCAACTTGTTTCCGGCATTTATTTGTTGCAACTTCTCTTTTCTTTCTTTTCTTCTTTGCCTGGGTATTATTTATCTGTGGAATAGGAGAATCAATCGTCAAGACTGTCAGTATCTTTAACAACCATTGAATGGCAGGGTTTTCTTTATGCAGATCCATTTCTCAAGTGTGTCCCCAAAACACCTGCTCACTGGCTGCTCCTGTATGCTTTCTCCAGAGGAATGCCCTTCCATCTCTCCACCCACCCACTCTGGGTTCAAGGCCAAGTGCCACCTCCATTACAAGGCCTCTGCTAATTGCTCAGACATTTCTTTTGGAAACTCTTCTTGTGCTTCAGAGTGTGTTTCATTTAACTTGGCTCTCACGTGCTGTTTTTATTATTGCATCATGGGTATCCCCTGTAGTTCTGAGCACAATGTCTTTTATGTAGGAAAACATTGAATATTTTTTGAATGACTAAATAAATGATTCAGTTAATGGTTTCATGATCTGACAAGACCATAAGTTCCTCAAGAAGACGGTGTATGCCTCTTTATGGATATAATCCAGTAGACCTACTATTTGGACCCAAAGTGCTCCTCCTTTCTGCCCCTCCCACCACCTACCACCTATGTGTGCCACACACTAAAGAGGAGTTTAAACTTAAAAAAAAAAAAAGACGTGATAATCTTCCCATGTATTCTTTTACCTGAATTACTCTTGGGTAGTGACAGACTGGGCCTTCTAGACACACAGTAGTCATATCAAGCAAATTCATCAGGTTACTAAGCAAAAAATCTTATAATCTAAAATCTGCTGAATCATAAATATTATCGGTCTTAGGCTCTCCCTTTGCGCTTGGGAGGGGACTGAATTACTCAGACTTTCCCTTTTTCACAAGCTGTCCAGAATTTGATCTAGACTGTCTTCGATGCTCTTTATATGGATGAATGTCACTATGGCCATCTGTAGATTTGCCAGTCTCTTTGATTGAATGCATAGAGCCAAACAGGTTTTTCACATGGCTGTCTGGTATTGAGTGTTTAACTCAAGCCCAATCCAGATGGACCATATAGCTCAATCTTCAATCCCTAAAATAGTGACAGCCTTGGCCACACACTTAGTGTGCAGACTGAGAAAGGTCACCAGTTAAAAGGCTGGCAGTAGTCATACATACCCACACTTGTCTCTCTTTTGTCTTTTTAAAATTTGTCATCAGGGAGATAAATGCCCTATTTTACTTGCCTGTTGAAATAAATATTGAAGACTTGTTATGTGCCAGGCATTACTCTAAGTACTTTAACATCTATTGACTCATTTAATCCTCATAAACACTCTATATGGGACTTGCTAATATGAGCCTCATTTTGCATATGAAACTGAGCACACAGAGCCTAGAAGTTTTGTCAATTTAGAAGTTTTGGGGCTAGGATTCAAAGTCAGGCAAGGCCATCTCCAGATTTCCTGCTCCTCACTCTGCACTACTGTTTCTATTTAGAGTTACACATCCATTCAAATGCATGTGACTGCATATACAAATATCCATATGTAAAGAGACAGCCATACAAGCAATTAAGCAAACGTGGGTAGAGATTTAATGTATAACTTAACATTTAAGAAAGAAGTACACATCATTAAGTGATAAGCCCAAGCAATGCTGCTCAAAGTTTGGAATGGGTAAGAATCTCATTAGGAGCCCATGCATGGGGACTGTGATTTTGAAGGTCTAGGTTGGGTCCTTGGGAATTACCATTTTGGGTAATCACCCTCCCATGCTCGGGCAGCCAGGACGAAGGAGACTCACTGATCATACTTTGAAACACTGCCTAAGGTTCAGAACTACGATTCTGCCAAAACAATCAGAACCCTAGAAATAGGTGGGTTTGGAGTCCCTGCGTGAACGTGGGGCTGAATCTACAGCTTTTACCCGGCTCATTTGCTCTTGGAAAGATAGGTCCTGAATAAAAATCATAAAGACTTCTGCAACAAAGTCCCACTTTAAGCTTAATTCCAAGGCTTTAGAAAGCGAGAGTCCAATGTATTGGCTTACCTGCATTCCGGAGTAGCCTGGGCACTGGAGAGTGAGCGCAGCATTAGTCCCTACTGCAAAGATTTCCTTGGCGAGAGACGTGCAGCCGTGGGTGGGATAGAAGGTAATGCGTTCGATTTTAGTGAGGCAATCTGGCTGCTCACGGGAGGCAAGGTTTACGAGATAAGAGAAAAACGCCAGGAAAAACAAAAAAACAGTTAAAAAAAAAAAACACGGTAAGAAGTGAAAGATGTGGCGGGGGAGGTGCGGGACGGGGAGCGGGAACCACCCCTCGCTTGGAGCGGGAGGAAGAAGTCTCGGTTGAGGAGAAGGAGAAAGAACCCACGGAAGGAGGTGGAAGGAGGGCGTTTTGAGAGTGGCAGCGGCGCTGGAGGAGAAAGGACGCGCGCCGGTTCTCGCTCCGCCCCAGTCTCAGGGCCCAGGCGACTGCCAAGAGGCGGCGCCCAAAGCCGAGGCTCTGCACCCCGGGAGAGGTTCCTCTGACGTCGTTGCCTGGTCCCGGTTCCCGATTTGCCTTTACTCCCCGGGGCGGGGAGCGGGGGAGGGAGGACTTTCCCAGAGTCCCGCTCGCTCCAGGGAGAGACTTCCTTGCCCTAAATTGGAACAATAGTAGTATCCCAAGCTGGACACCGGCCCGGAGGTTTCCCGCAGCCCGGCGTCCCTACGTAGTCTGCGTCGCCCGGGAGCCCAGCCACCGCCTGCGACTCTAAGCACAGCGGGATACCCTCTCCCAGGAACGCCTGGTGTCTCTCTGGAGAAAGCCAGCAGTACTGACCACACACTCACCGGGTCTTCACAGTAGATGGGGTTGTTGAATTCGGTGCTTTTGATCTGGAAGAAAGAAAAAAAATATATGACAAGAAGGGTAAAAATTTAGTTCACAGGAGAAAACCAGGGAGCCGCCTGCTCCCAGGTTTTAAGGATGCTCTGAAAGCAGTTTCCACTTAGGCACTTGTTTCCTATGCATCTGTTCCCGTCATTGACAAGGTAGTGAAACACTTTGAGTTCAGATAGTGCCTGCTAGTGTTTGAAACTGGGTATCAAAGGATCCTGGTCCTAGAGAGAGACCCTCCCACCACCACCAAACTGGGCACACTTGTACACTGGACTACACAAGTGAGTAATAATACCATCTTTCAAATGCCCACAATCTGCCTTGTGGCCATTCATGCATTTCACACATGCGTGCTCTATCCAGAAATTAGAATAATCAGGAAAATGATTACTACTATATATTAAAACTCTGAAGTGCACCTTATACCATAATGGCATTCTAAGGCTTCTGGAACACTAGAAAGAACTGAAGTGCACCTTTCCCAGGGTTATTATCTCTAGTTAGGACTTAGCTCACAAGAATTCCCTCTTTTTTACTCTCTTTTCTTTCTCAAGCCCTTTCCCACAGTCTTTCTACTGCACTTTCTAGCAGCACTTTGGTAGAGAATAGACACCTTGATAGATATGTGTTATCTATCAACATCTGCTCCTCATCAGTATCTGCATACTTAATGTGTGCCTATTTCTAGGTAGTTGTTTGAGAGGCCAATATATTTAAATATCACTTGTAAAAATTTTTGACAAAATGCTGGGCCATGATTTTTTCCAAATTATTTTTCTTTCCTTAAAAATTAAATTGTAGTTTTTATGTGGGTATGCCTATTCTTTTGATGAAAACACATTTGTTTTTTAAGTGTTTCTTCACTTACCCCATTCATATATTTCTCCAGGGCTTGATAAATGACTTCCTGATACTTCTTTCTAATCTTCTCAAAGTCACAGTCAGTGAAATTGTAGGTTAGCACCAGCCCTACCAGTTGTAAGATGAAGATCTTCCTGAAAAAAACTGACAGAACAAATAATAAGGCATCAGGCAATGTACTTGGAAGCCCAATTCCACCCCAGTTTCTCACTAAACTCTTTCCATCCACACTGAATTGTCTCTAGATCTGCAAGGCCTGCCTTAGGGGCATTGTGCCCAGACACCACTCTTTGCCTCTCATTCCCAGTGCACATGAAGCCCATATTCACCCATGCTGTTGCCTTAAGTTGGAGTCTCCCTGATGCTCCAGAGCTTTCTGGCTCCACATATATAACACCTAAACGCCTACGGGCTCTTTTCTTCTAGGCCAATGATTTTCCTTGATGTCATTCTCTTCCTTTATAGAATTCTGAATTGATCATATGAAAGAAAAACTAGAACTAGCCGAATCTATGGAATTTTCACATTGGTAAAATCATCAGGAATTTCCCTCACCTTCCTCCTTTTATCTTTGCCCTAAACCCTTGATATGTACCTGAAAGTGCTTTAAGAAACACATACCTATATCTTTCTCCCACAGGGCCATTTCCATGGCTAAGCCCCTTTCTTGTTGGAAAAAACACCCCCAAACGGCAGCCACTCTAAGGACTATTTACCGATGCTCATGCATGCTGTACATCCTGAGTATTTCTTTTGGCCACTTTCAACGAGTTCTTTCCCTCTGTGGCAACTGAGAAAACACACGTGCTTACTTAATGGGATGCTTTGGAAGGGGGGTACAGCCCCAGGCTTGGGCTGCACTTCTGCGTGAAGGCATTAAAATGCAATAGTGCCCAGAACCTTAGGCACCGGGCTGATACGAAGTTGAAATGAATGGGAAAAGATCTAATGGGGCTCGCCCACAAAAGACTCACTTTGCCAAAGCACCCTTATCAATTTCAGGAAAGAAGCGCCTACTCTTGGGTGATTGGGGTCACCTCAGGGGCTGCGGTTTCTCTAGCATGTTCTGTAGGTGTTCTATAGGTGTCAAGAAACCCTTAAAACCACAAAGCTCAACGCCCATCACCCTTCACAGCCCCACTCTAAAGGCCAGACAAGAAGCGAGGCCCCACTGCGCCACGTGGTGCGCAGCCGTGCGCGCCCAGAGAGGGTGCTGTCCAGCGCGCGGCTCTTCCGGAGGCGCGCAGGATTCGTGCGCCTGTACATCCCAGGCGCTGAGACCGCCGCTGCGCAGCCTAGACTACTTCGGTCGCCTTGGGCCTGAGCACCCGCGCGGGTTGTAGGGACAGGAGAAACAACGAGATGGCGGGCGCGGATTTGTACTTGCAAACCCTTGTACATCCAGAAAAGGGCGTTGAAGCGCAGCGAAGTGAGTCAGGGAGAGAGCCGGAGAGGGTGTCTAGCCGCCTTCTGGGCTGTGGCAACGCCAACAGGGGGTTGAAGGGACGGAAGGCCGACACGGACTGGGCTTCTGGGGGATGAACCCCGCTCCGCCCGAGCTTGGCCCGCGCCACTCGGGGCTCTCCAGACAACCAACTCCCCTCTTCCTCCCCTCACCCCCACCCCTTGCGTGTCAGAGCCTGCAGAGCCCTGGTCCTTGGGAAGTTCCTAGGAATCATCACCGAAGCCGCTGAGGCAGGGAGCCCCACGTGAGTGCTAGCAAAGGTCACAGGCCACGCGGTGCCTGGGAACAACTGCAGGGGGTGGCGAGGGAAGCGGGAAAAGCACAGACTCAGGGGTGGGGGTGGGGTGGGGACTCGGGCCAGAAGTGAACTTTTTTTCATAGAAGGCGCTCAACAGCTGTACCAGTACAGCTGGACCCAGTTCGCTAGTTAAGGCCTGGGGGTAAAGACTGTGGCGCTAACCCGAGTCATGGAAAGGCGCTGATTCACCGATGACTTCCAAATGGGCTTTTCTGGAATCCTCCAAGTTTAGGGGTTTTTTTTTGCATGGCAGCATCGTTTGGGAAAGAAATCTCGCTGCCCCTCTCCCCCATCACCAACTTTTCAGGGTGTTGTGGGATGATGCCAAATCTTGATTCATCTGTTGTGACATCAGAGGTGTTTCTGGTCAGCAAGCAGGAGCTAGAGACAGATTTCTTCACTGGGTTGGAATATGCTGATGGGAATAGGGACAGAAGAAAGCAGACTTCCGTGAGGTTCAACTTGCATTTTTCTAGGGTGTGAATGAGTTGCCTCCCTTCCTTTGCTTCTTCTTTTAAAACTTTGCATCTATGTGGGTCTTTGTAGAGATTATGCAGACAAGGTGCCTCCTCCTCAGGCATCCAGGAAGTCATCTCTTTGCCTGTTAAAGGTACTGCTAAACACTTATCCCCAGGACCCCTAATTTCCTTATCTGTAACTATGTGACCTCTGAGATCACTTTGATCATATCATTTTTCTGTTTGATAGACTCCCAGTTGCCTTGACATATATAAACGCTTGGCTCCCAGCTGTCTTTCCAGCCTTATCTCCTTCATTCTCTTAGGCTTCTGCCAAAGAGTATCTGACTTTAATATGCTCTAAATGTACATATTTTCTTCTTCGTAAGAAGAAAGCTTATTTCCTCTTCCCAGCCTCACACCCTCAGGTGTTTATATTCTCCTGTCATTCAACGCTCATTTCACTGGCCATATCCAAAAGTGGTCTCCTACCTGGATGTGGTGTCACTCCTCTTTAAGACATATTTATTTGGGGCTTCTCTTTTATGATCTCCATTCATGATGTAATATTTCAATAATATTTTTCGACTTTATCTTTTTATTAGACTGTGAGGTCTTTAGAAGCAAGAAATGTTTTGTAATATTGATTTGTTCAACATCAATTTACTTTTTCCAAAAACATTTGAAGTGACTTGCAATAAATGTACTGGTGCCAGAAGGTAAGAAACCGTCAAGATAAGGCAAAAGAAAGAAACCAAGGAATTAAAGGAAGTGTGGATCAGGTACAAGAAGCCATAAAATAACATTATTAAGAACTAGAGAACTAAGGGTGAAGGGGAGTGGGAGATACAGGCGCCCGGTTATGGATATATACATCACGAGAATAAAACGTACAGCACAGGGAATATAGTCAATGGTATTGAATTAGCATTGTGTGGTGACAGATGGTAGCTACACTTGTGAGCAGAGCATAAGGAACAGATTGTCAGGTCGCTATGTCGTACACCTGAAACTAATGCAACATTGGGTGTTGGCTATACTTTAACTTAAAAAGAAAACTGGGGAATTAAGACAAGCTCAAAAGTGGTTCTGATTTTCCAAGCAAACATTGCAAAGGAGAGAACAGGAAGGGTTCTACCTGTTTGTTAGGGGAAGCCAATTTGCCTTATGCCTGTGATCATCATCATAACCACCACAGTTCGGTCTTATGTGCTGCATGTAATAGATACTCAGTAAACCCTCAATAGATTAAAATACATTAACCTTCTTTGAAGATCATTGTTAGGAAGCAAATTATTTAATATGAAGGAATCTCTCTAAAAGATTCTTTTTTTCCTAGCTTTTTGCTGCCTTCCTGCTAGAATCCACTTACAGCTTGCCTGGGGCTACCACTCAGATTAGGGAATCGCTGAAAATTCCTGGTGGGCTGAATAACTTTCTGTTTTTTTTTGTTGTTGTTGTTTTTTCTCTTTCCCTTTGTTCAAATGCTGAAGGTGTGAGCAGTATCTATATGTGTAGTTAGGGAAATACTAGGTTAGGTCAAGAATTGTGTCTTATGGTAGGAAACAGAAGCGAGATCATTTGCAGCACTCTGATTACTCAGAGACCTTAGGGAATACTCACCCATGAACTGGGCCAGAAAATGACCCATAATACAGCTCTTGTCTCTTACCTTCACTAGAAAGATCTGCCATTCTTTTCTTAGTATTTCTGTTATTGTTTTTAATAATAGTTCTCTTTCTTTTTCATTCTCTTACTCTTATTCTTTCCCTGACTCCTTTTAAATTTACTTTCTCTTCTTCTTTTAACTAACGTGAATATTTAAGGTAGCCTAGTCCTCATGCAAAATTCAGTCTGTGTTTGAAGACATAGATCCAAGTTGTCAGGAAAAAGAGGTGCTATTTTTTCAATTAAAAATTTTTACTTTATTAAAGCATACTGTCATTGGACTTAAAAAATGGAAAGGATGTCACATGGGTTACTGATGAAAGGGGAGAGATTTTCTACTATGGAGTAAGAAAAGTGGATGACACACACCTTTCCTTGGTAATATTTTAGGAAGTGTGAAAATGTACTTCCCGCAGTAGTTGGGCCTGGAAGTAAAGATATAAACACTCCACCTTTTGGTTCTCACTTATGAAGAAAGGATGGGCCACACTTTGCAGAAGTGAACATTCTTTCTTTATATTCTCCCTCATTGGTCATAGTCAGGTGTAGTGTTTATGTAATGTGAAGTGGTCAGTGATGGTTTGTGCTGACTGTGGTACGTGTCCATTTTGCCCACTAATTTTGCATTATGCATTTGTACTCAAGCAGCCTTGTTGTTGGTTTGAACCATTGATTGGTTTTACCAAACTGCATTCTTCCTCTAAGATCCTTTGGGGACATTTCTAGACCAGAAAGTGGAATGAGGGAGTTTCTTATGACAAATGCAAAAAAATATCTCTTTTATTTTCTTTTATTTTATTCCAAGGCTAATGATACCTACATAATCAGCCTATGGCTGAGAAATGTTCCCAGATATTTTTGAATTAGGGAGTGAAAGAGGCCAAATAGATGCATGAAAACCTAGGGCCTGTACTCATTCCTGTGTAAAGAAACAGTCTTACCCTCAGCCAATTGGAAGTAAAAGATCTTGCTTACTTTATTCTTCTACAATCTAATAAGCAATGAACAGGGAGAAGATTGTTCAGGAAAAAGGTAGCCGTTGAGCTTTCTTAGAATGCTTCAAAAGAGTTGGAGAAGAGGTCAGAGCTGAATGATAGCTCCAATTTTAATATCTTTGCAAAGATATTTACTATACCAAATACCTCCAGATATACTGTCCACCCTTTCCCTGCCCTGCTTTATGCTCTAGGGAAGCTGGCCCATAAGAACTGCAGCAATAGGGGCGCCTGGGTGGCTCAGTTGGTTAAGTGACTGCCTTCGGCTCAGGTCATGATCCTGGAGTCCCGGGATCGAGTCCCACATCGGGCTCCCTGCTCGGCGGGGAGTCTGCTTCTCCCTCTGACCCTCTTCCCTTTCATGCTCTCTATCTCTCATTCTCTCTCTCTCAAATAAATAAATAAAATCTTTAAAAAAAAAAAAAAAGAACTGCAGCAATAGGCTCCCTTGACCTCTAGCTTCTGGTCGGGTTCAACCAATAGGAGATTTCGGTAAGCAATCAGGGAGTAGGAGAGCAGTGAAGTTGGGATTTTAATTCACCCACTCCCTCCAGGTTGGCTCCTCCCAGACTGGATGTTTTCCTCTCCTGAGGGCCCTAGCTCCTGTTGGTTGATTTTTTCATCTTGCTACCTTTCAGGTTTTGGTAACCATTCCCTTTCTTCATGTTTTTAGGTTTTAGGGTGATAATGGCCCCTTATTCTTGCTAGCCTAAGGGTACAGCTCTATTCTGAGTGTTACAATTTGGCTGGGCCAGACCCAGTTCTATACCCATTGTCCTGGCATAATTTATTAATAAAGCTTTTTATCCTTAAAAGTGGCACAATTTAAAGAATAAATTATATGATTCTTGTTGA